TAAGTTGTTAGCCAATCGTGTTTTAGTTTAGATTGTGAGGTCTGGCTCCAGCCAATGGAGATCAGATACAGCAGTAAGGACGACTCCAAATGCATGAGGGATAAATATGTCTGCTTTTCCTTTGTTTGTTGTACTCTCATGGCAAGATGGCTAGTGAGAGTACTCTTCTTGCAGTGCAGGAAGTAAAAAAAGTAAAAATTGCTTGCTGAGAGATCCTTTATCTCAGTGCTGATTTTTCTTTTCAGCACCAAGCATCTGTTTCCAACATCCTAGGAGCAGGGGACCACCAGGTTGCCTAAGGAGGGGTGGATCAGCCCAGGTCAGAAACAGAGCAGGTCAAAACTCCCATGCTGATCAGCAGTGGGATAGTATCTGTGAATAGCCACCACACTCCAGCCTGGGCAACATAGCAAGACCCTGTCTCTAAAAAAATAAAAATAAATTCTACCATGCACATGTAAACTAGTATAATAGTTAAGTGTATTGGTTCTAGAACCAAACTAACTGAGTTTAAACCTAATAGTGGCAGGTCACTGTGCCTCAGTGATGTCATCTGTAAAAGGAGAAAAATAGTGGCTATCTAATTGAGTTGTTGTGAGAAGGGCTTGGGCTTGCCATCCCCATCGTCGTTGTTTGAGAAGTAAATGACAATACAGATACAGCTCTTAAAATAATGCCTGGCACATGTGATGCTTAATATGAGTTACTCCTTACTATTAAAACATAAGGAAAATTAGCAATACATTTTTAAATGAACATTTCTGAGCTGGATGTGGTGGCACATGCCTGTAATCCCAGTACTTTGTGAGGCTGAGGTGGGTAGATCACTTGAGGTCAGGAGTTTGAAAAATACTGTCTCTACTAAAAATACAAAAGTTAGCCAGGTGTGGCAGTGTGTGCCTGTAATCCCAGCTACTCGGGAGGCTGAGCCAGGAGAATCACTTGAACCTGAGGGGCGGAGGCTGCAGTGAGCCAAGATCACACCACTGCATTCCAGCCTGAGTGACAGAGCCAGACTCTGTATCAAAAAAAGAGAACATTTTGAAATATATATGTATGTATGTATATATATATATGTGTGTGTGTGTGTGTGTGTATATATGTAGTGTATGTGTGTGTGTGTATATAGGTATGTGTGTATGTATATATGTATATACATATATACATACACACACACACACACACACACACACACAGAAGAAAAGGAAGGAACCCATGGTCTTGGCATGCCTTTGGATCTTATCTGAGCTGGATGGCAAGCCTAAATCTCTTTCCCATCTGTGAAGTGGGAAGACAATAGGCTCTACCAGATCCTGTTGTGGGGATCAGACGGGAGGGGAAGAGATGGGAAATGGCTCTGAAAACATAAATTGAAATGTTAAAGCGAGGAGTGCTTATTGTTATTAGGAAGAGGATTATGAAGCATTGGGAAAAAAAAAAAAAAAAAAAAAAGGCTGGGTACAGTGGCTCATGCCTGTAATCTCAGCACATTGGGAGGCCAAGGTGGGCAGATCACTTGAGGTCGGTAGTTTGAGACCAGCCTGGCCAACATGGTGGAACCTGTAAAAATACAAAAATCCCAGCTAGTTAGGAAGCTGAGGCAGGAGAATTGCTTGAACCCAGGAGGTGGATGTTGCAGTGTGCTGAGATCACGCCACTGCACTCCAGCCTGGGTGTTCACACAAGACTCCATCTCAAAAACAAAAACAAAAACAAAAACAAGCGCACACACACACACACACACACACACACACACACACACACTCACACACACCCCCAGCAGCCAGCTGCGAAGACTGCTGGCAACAGGAAGGGGACGACTGGGCCTCCTCTTCCGGCTCTCTGGTTCCAGCCCAGAAACTCCACCCTGGCTGGAGAGAAAAGATTGAACCTTACTGACAGCCATTCCCTTTCCTGTCAAACATTAAACAGTATCTGCTTCACATATGCACTTCTCTTCCTTTCTTTCTATTCATTTTTGCCTTTGGCATTTTTTTTGTAACATTATTTCTAAGCAAGTTACAGGCAACCCAAAAGCTAATACTCAGTGAACACTGATTAGGTGCCCATTATAGACTGAATGCTTGTGCCTCCCAGCCCCAAATTCATATGTTGAAATCCTAACCCCCAATGTAATGGCATTAGGAGTTGGGGCCTTTGGGAGGTGATGAGGTTCTGAGAATGGAGTCCTCATGCATGGGATTAATGCCCTTAGAAAAGGGACCCTGGAGAGCTCTGTCTGCTCTCTGCCATATGAGGACACCACGAGAGCACAGCCATCTGCAAAACAGGAAGCAACCCTCACCATTCATGGGATCTGACGGGTGCCTTGATCTTGGACTTCCCAGCGCCTAGAACTGTGAGAAATAAAGTTCTGTTGTTTCAGCCATGCAGTGCACGGTCTTCATTACGGCACCTCCAGCTGACTAAGAGAGTGCCAGGCATCATTCTCAGACTACATGCAGTGACTCATTTATCTTCTAAGCAACTCTAGGAGATAAATACCTTTTTATTCAATTTTATAGGGAAGAAAACTGAGTCACAGAAAGGTTAAATAACTTGTGCAGTCTGTAGGTGGTAGATCTAAGGCTCAAACCCCACCAGTGTGGCTGCAAACTCCTGATGCTCTTAACACTAAGACAATGAAGGAGCCCAGGCTCCACGAAGCCCAGCATACAGCAATCCCTAAAATCTCAACGGCCTACCTTGTGCAGAGGATTTGCTAAGGCTACAATGCAGAGGCCATATCTGCCCGCTGCCCTCAGCCCTATGACCCCTCCTTTGGGTTTACCAGTCCTGGAGGAGCCAGGAGGAAACTCCAGGTAGTCTGATCCCACCGACTGTCCTGCTCTCCATGACCTTAAACTGTCTCCCAAAGAGCACACACTGGTAAAGGACTTTCAGGAACAAATGTTGAAGAAGGGTATTGCTATTCTTGGAGCCTCTGCTGTCAGAATCAGTTTCTATCTCATGCTTCCAGAAATTGATGAGGACGACTGCAAACACTGCAGAAGCAACTTGCCAATGATGCTCTGTTTCAGGGAGAAGGACCGGCCCTCACTGCTGGGGAAGCAGCTGAGATCCTGTGATGCCAGGTGATGTCTGCTGTTCTGACAGTTCCTGGGATCCATTCCTCCCGGATTTTGGACAGCATATGTTCTGAAGGTGGCCTCCCCTCTTACAGAGCATGATGCAACCCTCCAATCCTCAGGCTCAAATGGGTTGCAGATTTTCTAGGGTGACTATTTTCTGTGTTCTAAGATCACAGGTGGTGAGAGCATTCTGCCTGAGAACTGCGGACAGCATTTATGTGAAAGCTGCTTATCTGGGTCAGGACATGCTTAGTGGTAAGTAACAGAAATATAGCCTCAGGCTGGGCATGGTAGCTCACGCCTGTAATCCCAGCACTTTGAGAGGTCGAGGTGGGCGGATCACCTGAGGTCAGGAGTTCGAGACCAGCCTAGACAACATGGAGAAACCCTGTTTCTACTAAAAATACAAAATTAGCCAGGTGTGGTGGTGCATGCCTGTAATCCCAGCTACTCAGGAGGCTGAGGCAGGAGAATCGCTTGAACCTGGGAGGCGGAGGTTTCAGTGAGCTGAGATGGTGCCATTGCACTCCTGCCTAGAAAAAAAGAGAAAAACTTAACCTAAAAAAAAAAAAAAAAAAAAGAAAGAAAAGAAAATACAGCCCAAAATGGCACAGACAAAGGAGAGTGTATTGGCTCATGTAACCAAACAGCCTCTGGATAGATTTCAGGTGAGGATGGATGCAGTGACTCAACCATGTCACAGAAGACCTGGCTTTCTTTTTAACTCTTTTCTCTGCTTTCCATGTCAAGTTCATCTTAAGATTGGTTTCTCTCAAAGGAGAAAGAGGGCTACCAGAAGCCTCAGGGAGCATGCTTCCTTGTTCATCTCTAGCAGAAGAAGCATCTCTCCCAGATCGTTAAATGAAGGCCCTGGGCCTCTGATTGGGTCATCTAAGGTCATAAGACCACCACTGAACCAGCCACTGCAGCTGTGGCACCCAGCGAGCCATAACTAGTTGAAATCAATCAAGGCCTACCCCTGGCCTGGAAATCAAGTACTTTATCCACCACAGTATACTGTTTCTTTGATTTCTAATATGAAATTTTCTGGAGTTATTAAAGACACCAAATATAATTTAATAGAGCAATAAAGTAAATGGCAACTACATTTTTTAATTGCTCAAGTCAAAATCTTGAAATCAGACCAGGCTCACACCTGTAACCCCAGCACTTTGGGAGGCTGAGGCGGGCGAATCACCTGAGGTCAGGAATTCGAGACCAGACTGGCCAAAATGGTGAAACACTGTCTCTACAAAAAATACAAAAATTAGCCAAACGTGGTGGTGCATGCCTGTAATCCCAGCTACTCAGAAGGCTGAGGCAAGAGAATTGCTTGAACCCGGGAGGCGGAGGTTGCGGTGAGCTGAGATCGTGCCTGGGCAACAAAAGCAAAACTCACTCTCAAAAAAAAAAATCTTTAAATCATTCTTTGCTCCTTTATTTCTTCCATTCCACTTCCATATCCAATGTATTGTCAAAATCAATTAGCTCTACCACAAAATACACCTAGAATCTGACCCCTTCTCACTTATCCCCTACTGTCTCTTATCTACAGAGAAGCCAAAGTAATTCTTTAAAATAGTAAGTCAGGCTGGGTGCGGTGGCTCACGCCTATAATCCCAGCACTTTGGGAGGCCGAGGTGGGTGGATCACAAGGTCAAGAGATCGAGACCATCCTGGTCAACATGGTGAAACCCCGTCTCTTCTAAAAATACAAAAATTAGCTGGGCATGGTGGCATGTGCCTATAGTCCCAGCTACTCTGGAGGCTGAGGCAGGAGAATTGCTTGAACCCAGGAGGTGGAGGTTGAGGTGAGCTGAGATCGTGCCACTGCACTACAGCATGGGTAACAAGAGTGAAACTCCATCTCAAAACAACAACAACAACAACAACAACAAAAACCAGCTCAAAGGCCCTCAGTGACTCTCATCTCAATCCAAAGAAAAGCAAAAAGCAAGACTGTTCGTCATGCTCTGGCCTGTTACCTCTCCACTGTCACCTCCTACTATTCTTGCCTCGCTCACTCTGCTTCAGCTAGAGTGGCTTCTTGCTAGATCCCCCAAAATACCCCGCATGCCTCTGTCTTAAGGCCTTTGTACATGCTGATCCCTTGGCCTGAACACCTTTCTTTCTAATCTCTGCTTGGCTCATGCCCTTTGTTAAAAAATGACATTGTCAGAAAGGCCCTGCATGACCAGTCAGTGTGAAAACACACCCAGCCAATCTTTAAGTTTCATACCCTGCTGTATTCTTCATAGCACTTGCCATTACCTAACATATTTAAGTATTTGTAAGGTTCTGAGCAGGGCTCTGGGGAGCGCAGCAGCCATGGCCAGCCACCTCGTGCTCAACAACGGCACCAAGATGCCCATCCTCGGGCTGGGCACCTGGAAGTCCCCTCCAGGCCAGATGACTGAGGCTGTGAAGGTGGCCATCGACGTTAGGTACTGGCACATTGACTGTGCCCACGTGTACCAGAACGAGAATGAGGTGGGGGTAGCCACTCAGGAGAAGCTCAGGGAGCAGGTGGTGAAGCGTGAGGAGCTCCTCATGGTCAGCAAGCTGTGGTGCACGTACCAGGAGAAGGGCCTGGTGAAAGGAGCCTGCCTGAAGATGCTCAGCCCCATGAAGCTGGACTGCCTGGACCTCTACCTTATTCACTGGCCGACTGGCTTTAAGCCTGGGAAGGAATTTTTCCGATCGGATGAGTCAGGCAGCATGGTTCCCAGTGACACCAACATTCTGGACACGTGGGTGGCCATGGAAGAGCTGGTGGATGAAGGGCTGGTGAAAGCTATTGGCATCTCCGACTTCAACCATCTCCAAGTGGAGAGGATCTTAAAGCTGGTTTAAAGTATAAGCCCGCAGTTAGCCAGATTGAATGCCGCCCGTACCTCATTCAGGAGACGTTAATCCAGTATTGCCAGTCCAAAGGCATTGTGGTGACTGCCTACAGCCCCCTCGGCTCTCCCGACAGGCCCTGGGCCAAACCTGAGGACATTCCCTTCTGGAGGACCCCAAGATCAAGGCGATCACAGCCAAGCACAATAAAACTACAGCCCAGGTCCTGATCCGGTTCCACAGGCAGAGGAACTTGGTGGTGATCCCCAAGTCTATGACACCAGAACGCACCGCTGAGAACTTTAAGACCTTTGACTTTGGACTGAGCAGCCAGCATATGACCACCTTACTCAGCTACAACAGGAACTAGAGGGTCTATGCCTTGGTGAGCTGTGCCTCCCACAAGGATTAGCCCTTCCATGAAGAGTTTTGAAGCTGTGGATGCCTGCTTGTCCTTAAGTGACCTATACCTGTGTTTCCTGCCTCATTTTTTCCCTGCAAATGTAGTATAGCCTGTGTCACTCCGCAGTGGGACAGCAACCTGTAGAGTGGCCAGCGGGGGCGTGTCTAGCTTGATGTTGGATCTGACGAGGCCTGTCAGTAGAGTAGAAGTCTCTTTCAGTTTGCTGTGCCCTTCTTTTTGCCCCGCTGGGGAAAGTATAACCTGAATACTCTTTTCTGACCAAAAAGCAGCAAAATCTGCCAGGTCAAAATGGTGCCACTGACAGCTGAGTTTTGACCACTTGGAACTGTAATCCTCTCAGCAAGACTCCTCTTTGCCTCAAATAAAAAGTGCTTTTGTGAAATAAAAAAAAAATTAAGTATTTGCTTACGTCATTTTTGTCTCCTCCTGAATAAAAGTTCCACGATAGCAAAGTTACTCACTAGCGCAGCCCCAAAATTCTAGAACAGTGAAGGCATTCAATAGATAGTTCCTGAAAGTGAATGAAAGCTTTAGAATAAATAATATACAAAAGAGGAAATAGCTAACAACAGATGAAAAAAATGTTCAGTTTTTCCAATAAGCAAAGAAATACAAATTAAAATATAGCCAAGACAATATGTTTGCCTATTAAGTTGGCAAGAACTATCAAATAATAAATCCATTGCTGTTGTAAAGCCATGAAACTGGTATTTTCGTGTAATATTGGTGACCAGTCTCATTAATTCATTCAAGAGATATTTAATTGGGTACCTACTGTGTACCTACTATCTATACTGTGCAATTTGCCGTATGTACTTTAATCTGTCATAAGGCTTAGAGTCTCATAGTCAGGAAAAACTAGGTTACCAGTGGTAACAAATTAACCTCAGAATCCTAGTAGTTTACTGTAACTCGAGTTCCAACATACTCACCTCAGGCTGGTGAAGAGGGAGGGTTGTTCTGTGTCACTCAGGGACTCCACCTTCTGGAATGTCATTGGTCATCCTTGCAGAAAATAGGAGAGATTGGCAAATCATGCATAGGCTTTCTACAGCCACATTCAGGAAATTCACACGTCACTTCTGTTCACACTTCATTGTCCAGAGCCATTCGTATGGCCCTTCCCAATGGCAAGGAGGTTGAGAAATAAAGCCTTCTTCCTGCATGCCCAAAACAAGCAGAGAAACACAGATGCTGGTAAATATTAATAATGTCTGCTTTAGTCCTTGACCAAGAAATCTACCATTCTACTAAAATAACCTAAAGTACATAACAGGCCTCATTACGGAAAATATTCATTGATGTTTTGGTTATTAGTTTGATAGCCCAAAAGAATCTTACTGGATAATGAGGAAAGGGTAATAGAATTATAGTTTATCCATATACAATAAATTATTGTGCCGTCATAAAAATAGTAGTTAATGAAGAATCTACGTTTGGAAAAATAATTTTTATGGAAGAGTAAGTAAAAATTAGGAAACAAAATGAGTATTATGGTCACAACACCATAAAAATATACCTAATTTTAAAAATTCTGAGGAAATACATTGAAGGATTTTCATTGAATAAATACCTGCTAGGGGCCAGGCCCTGCAGATTCAAAGATTAAATACACTCTCTGTCCTAGTGGTGCTACAGTCTTATAAGAATATCTAAAATGGGCCCAAAGAAATCCTTGCCTAAACCCAGAACAGTTATTCTAATAATTTTATGGTTGCACGTAAGGATAGACTTTCATTCCATCATGATTTGAATCATTCAGAGAATGAGAGACAGAGAATCATCATTCGTTCCATAGATAGTTATCAAACATGTCCTAAGTGGGTCACAGAGTTGGTCAAGATGCCGTGCCATGCTCACTGACCCCAAAAGGCTTTCAGTCTAGCTGGAATCCTACCTGTCAAACAGGATGGTCCTTGCTGGCCCCAACTTCTGGCCTGATGAACTCCTTTACACAATGCCCTGTACCAGACCTGTGAAAGTTCCTGAGCCGGGCGCGGTGGCTCACGACTGTAATCCCAGTACTTTGGCAGGCCGAGGCGGATGGATCACCTGAGGTTAGGGGCTCGTGACCAGCCTGGCCAACATAGTGAAACCCTACCTCTACTAAAAATACAAAAAATTAGCTGGGCATGGTGGTAGGCACCTATAATCCCAGCTACTCAGGAGGCTAAGGCAGGAGAATTGCCTGAATCCAGGAGGCAGAGGTTGCAGTGAGCCGAGATCGCGCCATTGCACTCCAGCCTGGGCAACAAGAGCGAAACTCCGTCTCAAAAAAAAAGGAAAGAAAAGAAAAACAGAAAGTTCCTGGTGCCTAAAATAGTTCCTGGCATATGGTGTCCAATAAATTCTGGTGTTTTCCCCAAACCAGCTCTACCTATAGGCTTCCCATTTCAGCTGATGGTATCTACATACTTCAATGTTCAGGTCAAAAATATGGCGTTATTCTCAACACCTCTCTTTGTCTCACACCCTACAAATCTTTCAGAAAATCCTGTAGTTCCTGCCTTCTGAAATATATTATGAAATCAGACCACTTCTTGCTCCTCCACTGCCACCGCCATATTTTGCCATTAGTGCCACGACCTCCTAACTAGTCTCCCGGCTTCTCCCCTGGCCCCTGCAGTCTGTTCTCCATATGGCAGGCATGGAGAACTGTTTAAATCCCAAGTCTGATCCCGCCACTCCTCTGCACAATTCTACTCGAAAAACTCACTTCAAAGCGTCAAATTTAGAGTTCTCATAATGAAGCTCTTTATGGTCTCTCTCTGGAGTCTCAGTTTTGTCAGACGCAAGTTAGCAGCTGTTAGCAGCAACGTGGTATAACACTACCTTTGCAATCCAGAATTGGAATTCAGAGATAATATGACCTCCCTCCATGCACAATTTTAAAAAGTCATATCTAAAGTAGAAAGCAGAAATAAAAAGAAAGTAGCCCACAATAAAAGATGCATTTTAATATGTAAACATTCAGGCACAACTACAGAAGAAGACAAAAACATCTCCACGAATTTCACAAACACCCACTATCAGAGGGAACCACCCCATTGAAAAACACTGCCCTTTACCATCTGGCCTGCCTTCCTCTCTCTAAACTAAACACCAGCCCTCAGGCACTTCACTCACTCTGCTCCAGCCATACCTGCTTCCCTGCTGTGTCGGACCAGCAAGTCACCTTCCTGTCTGGAGTCTTTGCAATTGCAGGATTCCCTCAGGGAGCCACGTGGCTCACTTCCTCCTCCTTCAGGTCTTTGCTCAAACATTCTTTTCTCAGAGAAGCCTTCCCTGACAACCCTCTTTAATACAGCAACCTCCCTCTCCCCAGACAGCACTCCCTCTCACCCCTCCCTGCTTACTTTTCTCCATACACTTATTGTCTGACATACTAGGTATTTTATCTATATGATGTTGTCTGTGTCCGCTCCATGATGTCACTAAGTTTTCTTGTTTGTCTTCAACTGTATCACCGTTATGTAAATGGGTGCTTGGCACAAAGTGAGTATTCAACAAATATTTGTTGAATGAGTGAAAACAGTGAATGAGGGATATGTACTGAGTGACTGAATAAATGAATTTCTACAGACACCCAGCAATCATGGCATTAGTCTTGAGTGTCTGGCCTCTGCTCCTCTGTACCTCACGCCTTGTCAAACTTGTCCTGTCCCGCATGCTTGTTGCTTTCTGCTGTATACATTCTTCATTTCCCATTTTGAAGCTCAATCTGGCTTCCTCCAACCTTGACTTCACATCTGGATTATGACTTTTGTCTCACCCCCAGGCATGATAAGATTGTGACAGCTTCCTGGCAACACCCGTCTTGACCTACTTCCTGCCTTCTACCCTGCGTCTCTCCCCTCCCCGCTTTTCAACACTCCATAGCTTTATCCATAAATGTACTTGTCCTAATATGCCTGTCAAAATCCTACTGGTTTTTCAAGGATAGATTCAAATGCTCCCTCCTTCTTCGATGAGGCCTGATCCACCATCCAGAAGTCAGTCTTATGCCCCTAAGTTCTCGTAAGTATTTGTAACTCTTACGGCCCTCCTCACAGCCTTTGCTGTATAAGATCTTTGTTTGCTCACCTTATCCCTTCCGCCGGAGCTTAAATTGTCTAAAGGCAGGTAGTAAGTCTTACTTATCTCTTGCGTTTCCCATGGTATATGAAATATGGTCAATAAGCATTAAGTGAGATAATTTATATAAACTCCTTAGTACAGTTCTTAGCATATAGTGAATGTTCAATCCATACTGGTTGCTAATACCAGTTCACACACAAGGAAGGGAGAGTTAGTTCCACTCCAAATGAGAGTTATACCGTGTGAGGTCAGCTAGGTGGGTTTTGAGAGCCTGTGACATGTCCAGGTCCTCACTTTTCACTGCCTGGGCCTCTCTCCCATCTGCAGCAGGTTCCCCGTGTTCCCTGGACCCACCTGAGTGCCCCTGAAGCTGTGGGCAGTTCCTGGCATAGGCAGGTGGACGGCTTTCATCCCAAGTACCTGCATATGCCTTCTTTCTATGTCTGGTACAGAAGCTTGCTAGGCTACTTGTAAATGCAATCCATAGATGAGGGAGAGGGTGCTCAATGTTCCTGGGGCCAACTCTCCACCGATTTGGATGGAGTTGTTGGAAAAACGCCCCACTCTCCCTGGCTTCTAAAGGGGCAATTCTGAGGCGTGCTCCATGTGGTTTCTCAGACAGTTTGTACTGGGATTGAGTCCTTGTTGCCCCTGACAGTAATCTACTTTTGGCTTTTCTCTTTCCCTAACTTACTTCTCCTACTTCCTTACTTGTGCCTTCTGGGATCACTTCCCAAAACTCAAGTCCTGCTCGGGAGGGAGCTACTATCACTGAAACTTCCTGAAGAAATGGCTGTCTAGCCCCTTAGGCTGGCAAAGTCCTACAAGCCTCCCGTCATGACACGCCTTTCCTGTGGTCCCTCAGCACCAGCTCCCTGGCACCAGCTATGTCAATGATTGGGGTGGAGGGAGGAGATAGGGATTCTTGGATTATCAGCAAAGATTTGAGGGTGGTGGGTGGGGTACCAGCGGAGTTTAATCCTAGGTTTGCTGCTAACCTTGCAGAAATTATCCCTCAAGGAAATGGCTGCAGTAACCCACCATTTAACGACAAAGGCCTACTCTCACTCCTTTGTGATTGCTGAAACTTCATAAGGAAGAATACTACCTTACGAAGACCATAATGCTATGAAGACACAAAGAACTCACTGGTTTGCGACTCAGTTTTCTTAGTGCTGTATGAGTTCATCAAAGAGGTTGTCATGTGTTCACCCAAGCCCGTTTGCTCATCTCGCTGAGCATGTAGCTACATTATATCCCTCAGCCTCCTTTACATTAGGTGTGATCATGTCTGAATTCTAGCCGGTGGAATGTAA